CAAAAAATTCCAATTCAATCACATTGTTTCACACTGATCCAATATTCCTTATTCCTATGTGTCTTCTCTCTAGTTGTTCTATGAGTTTCTGGGAAAAAAGTATTAAAATCTCCAACTGTAATTGCTGAATTATCTTTCTGCTTTCAATTCTGTTTTTGCTTTGTATGCTTTGAGGCTTTGCTGATGGGAGCATATACATTTGTTGTTGCTAAATATCCTGTTTAATATTGTTATCCATTCTCACTCCTTGTGATTACTGACTGCATGATACATCCTTCCAGCCCTTTACTTTCAACTTGTTTGTGTCTTTTTATTTAAAGTGCATGGTTTTTGGACAGTGTTGCGTCTTTTTTTGTCCTCTCTGAAGTCTTTGCTTTTGGAATGTTTAGTTCACTCATATATAATGTAATTTTTTTATATGATTAACTTTATGTTTTCAATTTTCCATTTATTTTCTGTATTTCTCAGTCCTTTTGGTTCCTCTCCTATGTTTGTGTTCAAAAAAATTTAGTGTACCTTTTTCATTTCCAGTGTTTTTTTGTCTCCTTTTTGGTCTTTATGTCTCATGTTATTTTTCTTCAGAAGTTCCTCAAGTATATTTTCAGTGTAGCACTTCACTTTTATTAATGATCAATTTTTAAAATTTTTTTTGAGTATTTTTTTCTTTTCTTGTTTTTTTTTTTTTTTTTGGTTGGGTTGGTGTTTGTTTTGTGCTGGGAATGCAACTAAGGGTCACATATGCTAAACATGTCCCCTACCACTAAGTTCTATTCCCAGTCTCCTCTTTTTTTAACCGATTTTTTTTTTTAAGATTTATCATATATATCTTAATTTGTCAAAATCAGTTTCAGATATATACTAGCTTGATTCTAGTAATATATAGAACTATTATTCCTATATATTTCTATTTTATTTCTTCTCTTATAGTGATAGTTATATATTTTATTTCTACTTATGTTAAACACTCAATGATGCATTGCTATAATTTTTATCTTACCACTTTTAGTCATTACAGCTTCAGCCCCACTTCTACTTTGTGCTGTTATTGGCAAAAATATTATACCTAGATTATATTTCTGTATGTTATGAGCCAAATATTATACTTGGTTACATTTATATTATTTTATAATTGTTTTTAGAATCAGTTAAGGGACAAAAGAAGAAAATATGAATTTATAGTGTTTGTTCATGTGGATTTGAATTACTGTCTAGAACTATTTGCTTTCCTTTTGAAGAACAACTTTTTAGATTTCTTGAAAGGTAGATCTGCTAGCAACACATTCTGTTCAGCTGGTAAAGTTTTAATTTATCTTTTATTATTGAACATTAGCTTTTCTGGCTATAGGATTTCTGGCTGACAGTTATTTTTCTTTGAGCACCTGTTAGAAAATGTTTTTTCATTGACTTTTGGACTCCAAGGTTTCTATTGAGAAGTCAGCTGTTAATATTATTTGGATACATTTTCTAAGTGATGCACTGTTTTTCTCTTATTATTTTCAAGATTTTCTCCTTGTCTTGGACTTTCAGCATTTCTACTATGATGCTTCTGTTGAGTGTGTCTGCATTTATTCTACTTGCAGTTTGTTGAGATTCCTAGATATATTGGTTAATATTTTTTAAGAAACTTTAGAATGTTTTTATCTTCTATTGAGTCAAATATTTTTCCTTCTCCTTTTTCTTCTCTTCTTTCTCTACTTCCAATATGACCGTATTAGTGGGCTTAGTGTTGTTCTATATCTCTCTAAGACAGTGTTCATGTTTCCCAAGTCTTCGTCCAATATTTTAGCCTACATAATCTGTACCTATGTATCTTCAAGTTTGTAAATTTTTCTGCCAGCATACAACAGTTGTTGAGCTCTGTTTTAATTTTTTAGGGCTGTCATAACAAGGTACAACTGAAATTTATTTTTTCCCAAACCTGTGGCTTACTTAGAAGCCAGAAATGAAATTATTGTCCTTATGAAGGGTATGGAGGAAGAATGTGTTCTAGATCTTTCTTCTTGGCCCGTAGTTGGCTATCTTACTGTTCACATAATGTATTCTGTGTTTGAGACACTAGTCAGATGGGATGTAGGAATATCATAATGTCTCCATTTTACCTTGATTTCCTCTTTTGAAATTCTATCTTCAAATAAAGGCACATTTTAAAGTACTGGTGGATAGGGCATCAACATATGAATTTTGGAGTAATATAATTCAACCCATAACAAGCCCCTCTAGTGAATTTCTATTTCAATTATTATACTTTTCAGTTACATAATTTCCATTTTGTTATTTTTCATAATTTCTTTATTGATATCAGTTTGATACCACACTATCTTTTATCTTCCTTTAGTTCTGTAATTAAGCTTTCCTTTAGTACTGTGAACATACTTACAGTGGCTACTGTGAAGTCTTTTTCTGTTAAATCCAGCATCAGATCACTCTCTCAGTCAGTTTCTTTTGCCTGCTTCCCCCCACCCCCACCCCACACTGTGAACTATAATTTCTTTTTTCTTTATACATCTCGTAATATTTTGTTAGACATGGGACATTTTAGATAATATATTGTTAGCACTCTGTGATAGTCTCCTACCCACCACCATTCCTGATCTGAAATGGTTGGTTTTTGAGGGACAATTTTTTCATTTTGTACCTCTGTGTGAGTAGGGAAATCACTGACCTCTTTATACTATATTACTTTGGGTGGTGTTTTGAATACCAAATGAAAAATGATAGATTTTATAAAATAGATGGTAGATTTTATAAACTTCTGATAGCGTTTATAGAGTAAAGCAGCTTCACTATTTGTGAGATCACATCTAAATGATTTCCACTCAGTAGTGCTTCATTATAACTCTAATTGGTTGCCAGTACCTTTATTCCACCATTGGAAGTGCATTTTCTCATTAATCCTTAACGTGACGTGGTGAATTAAGTTTATACAACAGTCTATTTTAGAAAAAAAAGATAAATAATTTTTTTTGAAAAGGTGAACAATCATCAGAGAAAAAGGCCAAAGAATATGAACAGGTAGTTTTCAGAAGAAGGAACATAGACTGATATTAAACATAAAAGAAAACTCTTCTAAAGAAATTCAGTTTAAACCAAGTATAAAATTCTATTTTCTATTAAGTTGGCAAAGATTTAAAATATCGATAATATCTAGTATTAATGAAAATGTGGGGGTAAGTGAGCTCTCATTATTATTACTTTGGAAGCATCTATTGGAATTTAAAATACACATGCCATTTTGCCCAGCAATTTAAAGTGTGTGAGAGATATAGGAACTAATGTAAAGATTAGTAATTGCTGAATTTTTATAGTAGAAAAAAGTTAAAAGCAACATAAATGTTCATTAATGGAAACTTGTTTTAGTTTTCTATTGCTGGAACAAAATACCTGAGAAAATCAGTTTAAAAGAGGAAGGACTTGTTTAGGCTCACTATGTTTCAGAGGTTTCAATTCATTCCACTTGGTTCTGTTGTTTGTGGTCCTTGGTAAAGCAGAACATCATGTTGTGGAGTAAAGCTGCTCACCTCATAGTGGCTGGAAAGCTATGAGAAAGAAAAGGACCAGGGACAAAATATACCCTTCAAAGGCACCTCCCCAGGGACTCACTACTTCCAGCTAGACCCTACCTCCTAAAATAGCATCACCAACTGGGAACCAAGCCTTCAACACATGAGCCTCTGGGATATTCCAGGTCCAAACTATAACAAAATTCAGTGGCCTTCCATCAAATGGAAAACCACCCAGTTGTAGGAAAGGAAGAGATGATATCTTTTTAAAAGGCAGGTTGGTTGTTTCTTTATATATTATGTATCATTATATTTGTGTATAAATAGAGTAATTGGGAAGGATAATATACTTCTCTGTAAAGTATCTTTGAAATATAGTTAGTGGAAGGAGGAAGATTGGGGAGTGTCATTTCTAAATTGCTTACTTTTTAAAACAACAGTTATGTATTAAATTTGTATTTTTTATTTAAAAGGAAAATATGCATTACATAACATCTTCCAAATTTATTAATTAGGAACTATATACTTATACATGAATTACAGTGAATTTTTCTGGTTTATTTTCTATTTAAGGATTTAAATGTGAAGATTTATTAATTTACAGAGGTTAAGAGAATGCTTTCTATCAGCTGGAAATTATGTACAAAAAAATAATTTCAATTTTAAGATTTGAAACGTCTTTCAAAATCATAATCTGGCTTAAAGAGAACGTTACGTATATCTAGCATATTGAAAAAGTTTTTTTTTTGCTGAGAAATGAAAAATTTAATAATCATAAAATCCATATCATAGCAAACATTCATTATTAGTATATTTCATGTAAAATTATGTTGGGTTTAAGAATAAAAATTTTGTTGTTGTTGTTGGAACTGGGGATTGAACAGAGGGATACTTAACCACAGAGCCACATCCCCAGCCCTTTTTATTTTTTATTTTGAGATAGGGTCTCAGTAAGTTGCATAGGCTCTTCCAAAGTTGTTGAGGATGGCTTTGTTATCCTTCTACCTCAGCCTCCTAAGCTGCTGGGACTGCATGTGTGCACCATCACACCTGGCTAGAAAGTTACTTTAATTAAATTGGCTTGAACAATAAAAAGCTTTGAGTCTGTGGAAACAGATAGTAAAACAATTTCTATAAAGGCAATAGAAGATTTTTCAGTATTTGCATATCAAAATATTTTATTTTAAAGTCTTTTTTCTTTTTTAATATTTATTTATTTATGTGTTTTTTTAGTTTTAGGTGGACACACATTATTTTGTTTTTGTGTGGTGCTGAGGATCGAACCCAGTACCTCATGCATGCTAGGCGAGCACTCTACCACTGAGCCACAACCCCAGCACCAAGTCTTTTTTCTTTTATGGATGTTATCTTGTAATAAATATATTTATAGTTATTTTTTATTAATTTTATAGTATTTCATAAATTTAAAGCAACTATAGACTATCTAATCATATGTGTGTAATAATTTTTTTTACATTATGGAATTGTATGTTTTCACAGGTTTCGTCTTGATATATATCGATGCTTGGCCAGTCCAGCTCTAATAATGTTAACAGAAGAGGATCCAATCCTAAGAGCATTTGAACTTAGTGCTGATTTAAAAGAACTAAGCCTTGTGGAGGTGGAATTTAGGTGGGAATGAATGGAAATTTTAAATTGCATAATACCTTTTGTAGCAGAATATTCATCTTGAAGTTCTTGATAGAACAAATTATAATTTATATTTACTTACAATTTATTTACATTTGATTCTAGATGACCAAACCTTGATACCTCTTACTTGGGAATTTTCCTTTTCCCTCAAAGGAACAGATCTGTGCTGTTTTATTTAAGTTATTCCTTCCCCATCTTCTCTCTTATACTCTTTAACCACCCTTATTCCCCCAGGGAAAGCTTTGAGATTTTCCTTTATGGCAGAGTTATCCTTAGTACCCTCTGAAAAAGGAGAAATTGAACCAGCTCGTATTGCAAGGGTTTTGCAGGGATTTATGCCTAAACCCACCTTTTCCCTCCTCCAGCAACCTGACCCAAGTGGGAAAGTTCAAACTTTCACACTGAATAAAAATACCTGTTTATAAGTTTAAATTTTTTTACTTAATTTGGATACATTAAATTTTATTTAAATTTGATAGAACAAAGTAGTACTTTGATTAACTCAAGTCATGGTTAAAATTAAATTTTTGCTACTTTTAAAGTATCAGCACACAACACTACTAATAAATTATTTTGCTTAAATATGAATAATTTTCTGTTGCAGTCTCATATTTTGAGTTCTGAGTCACCATATGAAATAGAATTTATTCAGTTCATTCCAAGAAGGATTTGAAACAACTGCTGTGATTATGCTATGATCAGAATAATAAAGTTAGATTTGGAAGTGATCATAGAACTCATTTACATTATCCAGTGTTTTGTTTTTTAAATATTTTTAGTTGTAGATAGACACAATACTTTATTTTGTTTATTTAGTTTTTATGTGGTGCTGGGGATCAAACCCAGGGCCTCACATATGCTAGGTAAATGCTCTCTCTCACTGAGCTACAACCCCACCCCTATCCAGTGTTTTTACAGACAGAGAAAGAGGTATACACAGACTAGTTGGTTTATTAATATTAACATTTAAAAATAGAAGCAAAGTTATAACTAGAACACAGGACTTCTTGCTGCTAGTTTACCATATGTCCATTCTAAACTGTATAGCCACTAACTTTTCTTTTAATAATCTAGAGATTAAGCAAATTAGATTGACAAAATGTATTAATTCACCTTTAAATTTAGTGTTCTATCAAAATGTTTATGTAATGATGAGATAGCTTTGTGATAATATACATTTCTGATGAATGTTCCCATTTGCAATTAGGTTCTTAAACAAAGAAGCAGGTAATAACTCATGTGTTAAAGAAATCCAATTGCCTGTTCTCAGGTTATATAGTAAATACAAAGAATGAGAGAACTGTTAGCTTCTAAGAAAAAGAAGTTTTTATTCTTTGAGTTATAATTTCATGCAGCCAGTTCATGGAAAATTCCATTGTAAAGGAAGACTAAAAAAATGGAAAGTCTTATTTTCCCTTCCTTTCTCCTGGGAGAAAAAAAACTGAATAAACATTACTTAATGAAGTTCACCCTCATGTTACTGGCTCATAATTATTTATTTCTAACCTCATTCTTAAATCTTAAATTGTTATTAAACTTATACATAAGTTTAATGTAACTGATTTTTAAAAATTTTTTTAATTGTCAATGGACCTTTATTTTATTTATTGATACATGGTGCTGAGAATCAAACCCAGTGCCTCACACATCCTAGGCAAGTGCTCTGCCACTGAGCCACAACCTCAGCCCGTACTGATATTTTTTAAATTAATTATGTACTAAAACTTTGTTTCTTACAAACTAGGTTAGATCTGCCTTTAATAAGCAATTCAAAGAGAAGTAAAGTTTAAGCAATAGTTATTCTGAAAGTAAGTTCTTTAGTAAGTAAATTTTAGTATCTCTCTAATTTCATTCAAGTAAGCACTTTTAAATACAAATCAAAATAATTTTTAATATTAGAATTAACATAAATGTAGGCTATTGAAAAGTCCTCTGGTTAAAATTATTTAATAATATTAATCAGATGACATTAAAATGTTATTTGTATTTATATTATTAATAAAATAGGAAATCTTAGCCAAACTTACAGAGAATAAAACAAATGAGTTAAGTGGACACTGATGGATGAATATTATTAGAATATCCAGGAATATCAATCTATATAAGGAAACATTGTGCTCATCTAAGATTATCAGTATGAACACAGGGAACATCATTGTGTTACAGTTTTCCCCAAAGCCCTGGAGAATTTGTGTATCAGTAAGGTCATTCAACTGTCAGCAGAAAAAGAAAGACTTCAGATTTTTTCTAGTGAATATAGTGTAATTGGAAAATGGAAGTGACATTTCTAATAGATTAATGCTTTTTTTTTTCCCCAAGAAATGATTATGAGGAACTAGCCCGACAATGCAAAATGTTTGCTAAAGATTTGCTTGCACAAGCCCGGAATTCACGTGAGTTGGAAGTTATCCTAAACCATACTTCTAGTGATGAACCTCTTGACAAACGGGGACTACTGGAAGAAAGAATGAATTTAAGTCGTCTAAAACTTGCAATCAAATATAACCAAAAGGAGGTATGAGGATTTCTGTGATATATTTAAATTATTTTCTCCACCATTGTGTAGTGGCTCAGAGCAGAGGCTTTGGAGCAACATATCTGGGTCAAGATCCTACTTCTGCTTCTTGTAATTGTGTGTCCTTGGGAAAGTTATTGAATCTGTCTGAGCTTTAATTTTAATAATTAATTAAAAATATGTATTTAAAGGTTTTAGCATGGCAAGTACTAGTATTTAGCAAGTAATAAATGGTAGTTACTATTACTTTTAATAATTTATATTAGTTAAAATAATATGGTTGCTGATTTTAATGTTTTGCTAACTAGTAGCTACACAGGTAAACTTTTACAGTGAAGTTTCTACCTGTGTTTTTATCTGTTACAGGTTTGTCTTATTGAACTGGTTATAAGTAGCCCTTTCTATAGTAAATAGTAATTTCTATTTAAAAATAAAGTATCAGATATTATGTTTCCTGATTCTTTTTATTTGTAATTCATTGTAAAACCTAAAGGTGGAGAGGCGCATGATATAACTAAGTTGAATCTGACTCTTCTGGCATCATCCCTTCCTATTAAGGGAAATACCCATTTCTACTCCCCATACACACACATACACATGATTCAGGAACTTGAAGATGAAGGTATGCATTTTAAATTTTATTTCTTGAGGTATTCACTAAACAATGGTATTTATATGTAGATAGTGATATCTAGTTGATAGTATGGGATGTTGATAAATGATACTTTTTTAAGGTGTCACTTCTAAGACTCATTTTCGTTGTCAACATAGAGATTTGGAATAAAACTTGCTTATGAAATTTATATTATTACAAAACTGGATCCTAAATTAGATGATGGCTAACGGCAAAGTCAGGACCTTTGGTACTAAGATCAGAATTTTTTATTGTTGTGGTTGAAAATTTGATCCTCACAATAGCTTTTTGACAGCTGGGTGCAGTGGTTCATGCCTGAAATGCCAGCCTCTTGGGAGGTTGAGGCAATAGGATCACAAGTTCAAAGCCTCAGCAACTTAGTGAGAGGCCCTAAGCAACTTAGTAAGACCCTATCTCAAAATTAAAAAAAAATAAAAAGAGCTGGGGGTGTGGCTCAATGGTAAAATGCCCCTGGGTTCAATTCTTGGTACAAAAAAAAAAAAAAAAAAAAGACCTGGAATAGTAGCTCAGAAAGAGATTGCCTGCCTAGCATGAGTTGGGAGGCCCTGGGTTCAATCCCCAGTACCATCTATAAGAAAAAAATAGAAGTTAAAAAGATAAAAACAATAGTTTTATTTTTAAATTTTTTGGTGTTTGTTCATTTTAGGTGAACACTACAGTAGAGTATATTTTGACATATTATATGTACACAGAGTATAACTTATTCTAATTACAATCCCATTCTTGCAGTTGTACCTGATGTGCAGTTTAAAACAATAGCTTGTGGACTTAGGAAATAGATATGGGAATTTAACAGTGTTTACTTCAAGATTACCTAGATAATATATTTCTTCTCTAGAACTTTGACTTAAAATCCTGTACTTTTCATACTACTCCCAAGTTTCTTGCTCAAGGTGGGAACATTTAATGGGAAAAAAAATGTAAGTATAAATATCTAAGTCAGTATAGATTTAATTTTACCCATCAACAGTGCACTCATGCTGCTTGAAAAGGAAAGTCAGTGCTAATGAGTGCTAGTACAAATGGGTGATGTAGGCTTCTTCACTCACATGTCTGTGTCCAGTCAGCAGTCAAAGACTTGGAATATCAAGGTCTAAGTAGGCTGGATACTCAGGTGGTTGAGTCTACAGAGCATAGAGCATCTGAGAATTTAAACTGGAACTTTGGAGGAGCATGGCCATACAGAGGGCAGGTTGTGATTAGGTGGTCCAAAAAACATCTGACAGCTAATTGGAATGCTTTCCTGCAGTATGTAGCTTGGACTTCACAGGGTGGTGAATTCAGTGCAAAATAGGACTTTTTTTATATTTATTTTTTAGTTGTAGTTGAACACAATATCTTTATTTTATTTATTTATTTTATGTGGTGCTGAGGATTGAACCCAGGGTCTCGCACTTGCTAGGCAAGCACTCTACCGCTGAGCCACAACCCCAGCCCTGCAATAGGACTTTTTACAGAGCAGTTTATAACTCCAAGAGCAAGTTTTCTAGCATACAATCTGAAAGAAACATGGCCTTTAAACACTTACCTTTGTCACATAGCATCACTTCTACTAGAATCTGGTGTTAGAGCAATCACAAGCTTATCAAATTGAAGGATAGGGAATAGTGATTCTTTTCTCTGCCCAACACCTCTTGATGACAAGAGTTTCAGAGAATCTGTGTCCATGTTTCAAAACCACCGTAGCCTTAGAACATTTGTAATTGAAATGTTGTTCTTCCAGATATTATTTAACTTCACTGCTAATTATATAAACGAATGGTAAGAATAATAATCAATCCTGAGTTTGCTTTGACATTTGGGGGAGAGGCAAAACCATTGGGGTGTTAATGGGAAGAAAAACTTGTTTCCCATGTATTTCACCCTGAGGAACAAATTAAGATTTCCAGGAACACTAGAATCTGAGCAGAACAAAGATTAAGTAAGTCCTAATTGCTAAAAATAAGTACAGTGTATTAGAAGAATTTTTCATAAGCACAATAAACAATCACATAACTGTCCAATTCATTTTTTTCATTACAGTGTTATATTCTACAAGTTATATTCTATCTCAGGATAAATCTTTTTAAGACAGAAGATTAATCAAATGTTATTTTACATTACCCAAATAATAATGTAATTATTACCCATCTATTTGTGCTTTACAAAATTATTTTTGATAATCTCAAACCTGATCAAATTTGGATCCAGAGTTATTAGGACACTTAAGTTATACTTTACAACATGAATATTATATTGGAAAAATATAGTGAATGAAATTTGTAGACTAGAAAAGTTTATAAAGTTTGGTAAATTTCTGTACTTGAACTAAAATTTCCTTACTTGGGAATATTTTCCCTTTTCTGCTCACATGCAATTCAGTTTTAAGCAGTGTTAGAGTATCTTTAATACATTTTAACACATTTTCAGTGTTTTCATGGAACATGACTAGATCTAGGATATAGATCCTTTTGTTATCTTGACATTGATTTCTTTACTTTTTTATTTTTATTTTTTATTTTTGGTTGAACACAGCACCTTTATTCCATTCATTTTTAATTTTATGTGGTTCTAAAGCTTGAATCCAGGGCTCCATGCATGCTAGGTGAGCGCTCTACCGCTGAGCCACAGCCCCAGCCCCGACATATTGATTTCTTGCAACTAAAATTAGCAGGTTTTCTAGAATGAAGACATTCAAAGATTAGTTAGTAGTATCTCTTTCTAAGGCTTGTGCATGTTAACTTTGACATTTTATAAATTATGAGTCTTTATAAAGGTTTATAAAAGCTAATACTCTTAAAAGAGTCTTTAGGTGTGACAAAATAGCTCAGTAGGCTAATAATAATGCAATACTGCATGCTAAGAACAAAGCACTGTTCATAAGAGCTTTGTATTGAATCTTCACAAGTTTATGAGTAGCTATTATTATCTGAACATTAGAGATGAGAAATTTGAGGCTTAGAGAGGTTTAAAAACTTGCTCAAGGGCACTTAGTAAGTGGCAGAGCCTGGATATGAGTCTAAATAATCTGGCTCCAGAGTCTATGCTCTTAACCTGTGCACTCTTTGATTAGTTGTAAGAAGAAAAGAAAAAAAAAATCCTATGTTTATTGTATAGAGTTGATTTTTAAACTAGTATTAAGACTTTGAATTTTGAATATCAATTAATCAGTTAGTATTTAAAGGTTTTGTTTTGCATTTTTTTTTTTTTATGTCTGTGTATGTCCTTTTCAGTTTGTCTCCCAGTCTAACTGCCAACAGTTCCTGAACACTGTTTGGTTTGGACAGATGTCAGGTTATCGACGTAAACCCACCTGTAAGAAGATAATGACTGTTTTGACAGTTGGCATCTTTTGGCCAGTTTTGTCACTGTGTTATTTGATAGCTCCCAAATCTCAATTTGGCAGAATCATTCATACACCTTTTATGAAATTTATTATTCATGGAGCATCATATTTCACATTCTTGCTGTTATTGAATCTGTACTCTCTCGTCTACAATGAGGATAAGAAAAACACAATGGGGCCAGCCCTTGAAAGAATAGACTATCTTCTTATACTGTGGATTATTGGTGAGTATCAAGTTAGTTCAAAAGAATTTGCCTTGTTTAGCACATTAATTCTTCCTTGTTTGATGGCACTATGAACATTGAATTCAATTTATAATTTTACACAGTTCATGCAGCAAGAATTTGAACATTTCCATAATCATTGAAGATTTAACTAATACTTCTTTGAAGATAAATGTTAATGAACTTGATGATATAATTTAATATTATTTAATATGTGGAAGTTAAAAATTCATTTTTCTCAGACTGTGACATTGTTCCTAATTGTTAATATAGAAAACCTTTTTTAAATTAATGAATGCTATTTTGTATTAGAGTATGAATTTTCCTTGGGTATTTTAAAACAACATATTTTATATTTTACACTTTTTATAAATTTTCTGTTTCTAAACTAAATATCATTAGTTTTGTCATTAAAAACTTGTGCACTTTTGAGCTGGGGTTGTAGCTCAGTGGCAGAGCACTTGCCTGGTACATGTGAGGCACAGGATTCATTCAATCCTTAGCACCACATAAAAATAAATCAATAAAATAAAGTTATTAAAAAAACGTGTGCACTATTGTACTTACATTTTATTTTATCTCTATTATATAAATATTATTTAAATTTAGATTCAAAGAGGTCTGACTCATTCAAAAAATCAGTTCTTTGTAATGAAAATCAGATCTGTTTAGAAATTACAGGTTTAAAAGAATAAGACATTTTTACTTTCTGAAAAATATTTATAAGTATTACATAGTAAGTATCTTAAATGATCTTGTGCAGGTCATTTACTCCCCTTGCCCTTTCTTTTTTTTTTTTGTTTTTGTGGAAGGGTAGGAGTTGAGGTAGAACCACATTACTTAAACAGACAGTGGTCTTTTAAAGACATTTTCTTTATTTCTTTAGTATGTTTAATCTAGTTTTTTTAACTCCAGCATTTCCCACCTGACCTACTATTTGCTATAGAGTAACAGGATATTAAAATCTAGTTTTTTTCTATGGCTGAAAGTACTGATTACATTTATTTTTTGATCACTGAATTCTTGATTCAAGTTTCAATTATTGAATATGCCTTTTTAGTTTGTCTGAATTAAATAATTTGAGAAGCTATTTTACAATATACACTTTTAGTTCTCCTTCAGCTCTAAAAACAATTTTAATGTATTAAGGTTTTAATTTGAAAATCAGTGAATTTCAAGTAACTTGATTTCAGTCAATTTTACTTTTAGTGGTATTCAGGCCATGATGTGTTAAAATTTAAAATTGGGTAGGTAAAGTAAAAATGATGCAAATCTAAACTTTAGTTTAAAGAGAATTAAATAATTCCTTTTCATTAGCATTTTCCTATACTTTTGGCATTTTCTTAAAAATTTAATGTTTTAATTTAGGAAATAATTTATTCTTTACCATATGTATGATTCTATATTGAATTGTGTATATCTTTTCAATGTAAGTTTTGTTTATGTATTTGATTAAGTAAAAAAAATAGGTTACAAGGCATCTAAGAAACTCTTTCCTTCTGTTAATTCTGAAAAAAATTATTATATATTCCTTAGCCTTAAAGAAATGAAATTTTATATCATCCACCTATAAACTTTTGCTTAAGTAGTAGTAAGAAAGAATTTTGGGGTTTTATAAGTTAAGATTCACTTTAATCAAGTCTGTATAAGAATCAAATCAATTTATCTTTGCATTGAATAAAAACTAACTGAACTCAGACTTATACTGCTCTTCCGATAGCATAATATTACTGCAGCTGCTTATTTTCATAATGATGGTAACATTATAGCTATTTCCTTTTAAATCCTGTTTTCAGTAACATTTTATGTGTATACATATGCACTCCCCTCCACACACATGTGATTCATTTTCTAACCAGTTCTGCCTCGCTAAAGGAATGAATGTAAGTTAAACCAGTAAAACTCCTGAAAATGTTTTACTTTTTTCAGCAAAAAGCTTCTTCTTTGAAACAATTAGATCTCAGTATAACTTGTAAGGGATGTCCTTTTCAGGTTATTCTGTTATATTATTTGATCACTTTGGGCTTCCTTAAATATATAGTTCCAAACCTGTGCTAAGTAAATGTGTAGAAATAGTTTGCCTAATTATCTAAAGTCACTCTTTGGTTTGTTTTATTATTTCAAATAACAAGTATTGTAACTTCATACTCATGATGACCATTTTTTATGTATTTGTTTCCTGTTTCTATTCCTTAGGTCTTACAAAAAAGGTAGGGTTAAGTTATAAAAAGCAAGATAGAGAAAAAAGAAACAATTTATTAATGTATCACAGAATGCTGATAATATTCTTTTCCTTAATTTTTTACTTTTAAACATAACAGAATAGCTATTATAAAAATGTATTTAAAAAATTTTTTGTACTCATTTGTTCAAGCATAGGCAGAAGCAGGTGTGGCTCCTGTACTCATCAAGCTTATGGTCTAATAAGGCAAAGAGTAGCACCTACAGCCACAACAATAACATTAAGTTGAGAATCATACAGAAAAATGAAAAATCACAAATGAGTTACTTGTTATTAAGAAAAAGTCATGATGCTAGGAGAGCAAGCATATTACAGGGGCATTTCACCTAGTCAGGGAGGTTGTAAAAGCTATTTTAAGGAAGTTAAGAAAGGAGCTAAGATCTAAGTTAAAAAAATGAGTCATCTAGGAGAATTAGAGGAGAAAAGTATTCTAGGCTAAGATGAAAGCACATTCAGAAGTACAGTGGCTAGAGAGTATAATACAAAGAAGGGACTCACTAAAAGATAATATTCCTAGAACACTGAATAAGGGAAGCATGATTCAAGATGAAGATGGAGAAACATGTTATACAAGACCATGCATAGCATTGTAGGGCAGGTTAAGTAATTTCAACTTAAATGATGAAAGACCATGAAAGGTTTTAAGTAGGCAAGTGACATGATCAGTTTTTTTAAAAATATATATTTTTGTTATAAATGGATACAATACCTTTATTTTATTTTATTTTTAATGTAGTGCTGAGGATCAAACCCAGTGCCTCACACATGCTGTACCACTGAGCCACAACCCCAGCCCAACACGATCAGTTTTGTCTTTTGAAAAGATCATTGTGACTAAAATGTGAAGAATAATGTGGGTTAGGAAGATAGGCTATAGCAAGAGTAGATGAATGGATACTAATAAGGAAGTTGTTGGAGTAATCCAGATGGGAGCTGATAGTTCCTAGGAATTAGGATGATTGTGATAGAAAAAGAGAGAAAACAACAGATTGAGAGATATGTACAAAGTAAAGCCAATAGAACATGGGAACACATAGTGTATAAGAGATATGGCTGGTCCGAATGCAGTGATGTTTACAACTAATTGATTACATTAGTATGTAAGAGGTATAAAGGAAAGGAGATCAAGGTATTTTAGATATTTTAGAAGAAGACTAGGTTTGATGATTTGTGAAAGGGTAGATATTCAGTGTAGTTTTGGATATGTTGTATTTGAAAAGCCTTTGATATAACCAAGAGAGATTTCAAGGCAGACAATTCGATATCATAGTATGGAGCTCAAGAGGAAGTTCAAGCTGGAGTTATAAATGTGTGAATATCTGCATATAGGAATTGTATGAAATTGTGAGCATGAATAGACACTTCAGGAAAAAGCATAGAAAGAAAACATGAGAGGACCTACGATCAAGCCATGAGAAATCCCAAAATGACTGGGATTGCTGCTTGTTAATACTATTTACTAATTCTAAAATATAAAAGCATAACGGGCCCCCAACATATAGAGCATTGATTGTGCAGTGATTTAATTGCTTATAATAGTTTATAGTTATTTGGCTCTTTTTAGTCCAACTTAGAAAAATGGAATGCATCAAGTATATCAGCTTTATTATGGTGGGGAGTGTTGCACAGGAGAGCTACCTGATGGGCTCCTCATTAGTCTTTCATATACTTGTCTTTTCTGATCAAATGTCTTCTCCAAACCATGTTATACCTTATTGTCAAGAGTTTCATTTAAGTATAATACTGCATTTTGTAGAAATAAGTATTTCTGTAAGCATCTTTCTTGGCTTAGTGTTTTAACATTAAGAAAAATATATCTAAAGTTTAAATATAAGTGTTTTGTTTGAAAATGACTTATAAATAAAGTTTTATATACTATTGTATATCAGAAGCTAGGATTAGATAATAATTTGAGCTCTTTAAGAAAGTATACACATAGAGAGTTTTTTATTTAATATATGTATTTTTTTGCTTCATAACTCCTAGTCCTGGGTAAATGTTGAACATGATTGATTCTCAAGAAACTTTCATCTCCTACTCCTTCCCCAGATAAAAGAAAACAATGTTTGAATTAATAAAAAGTCACCTGTCAGACTACTTCTTTTAACATTGTTAGTTTTTACCTACTCATTTTGAGTAGTGGAATTTTCAAGTTTTTTATCTATCAGATTGGTAACTATGTTAAATGTTTCTACATAAAATCAGTACTACTAATTAAGATGTTATGAACAGATGTTTTTAAGGACGTTTCATGCATTTCTCAAGGAAATTATCCTGCCTGCTGTTTAGCCAGAGGATGATTTTAATTGGCTTAATTTGATCTCCACCCATGTATTTTGCTATACTACTCTATTTTTCTGTTACTTTATAGTCTCCTTTAGAATGTCTTGATGAAGAAATATACCATAAAATTATCCTGGGCCATATTACTAGCCTCTGGTGTGGAAGTGTTTATAATAGACTCAGGCTGTTTCCCAGTCTGATGTTCTATGGAATAAGGCCATGTGGGGGGTGTGGGTTATCCCACTAGGAAAACTTCAAATTCAATAGAAACTGTACCTTATAAAGTCCAAGAGTATAGCTTCCAATATAGGCACACTCTGAGTTGAGAGATATCATAGAGTCCTGGCCATGTTTATCTTCAGGGTCTATGAGTCCACCCTTGTTCTCCCAGTCCAAAAGCAATTGCCTAATCAATGCTAGTTTTTTTAATGATGTTGAACAAAGCTGACCTTCCATATTTTTCTCAATATAGCGTGTTTCCATGGGAATCACTTTAGTGGAAGGTAACCTGAGGTTACGTTCCCATGGAGAAAGAGTTTGGATATTCTATTGATCCTTTCTCTTCTGGGAGCTTCTGAAAAAGTTTTGAGGAACAAAGCAATACTTGCATTTTAAAATAATCATTATGGTTGCTGTAGTGAGAATAGAATAGAGGATGGTGGCTTGAAGTTGAAGTGGTTGTGAGAAGAGTTAGATCCAAATATATTTTGAAAGTAAACAGGATTTGCTTTTGCATTGAATATGAGCTTAAAAGGAATACAGGAGGGCTGAGGCTCAGTGGCAGAGCACTTGCCTAGCGCTGGTTTGATCCTTACCACCACATAAAAAGTAAATAAATAAAGGCCATCTATAACTACAAAAAAAAAAAAAAAGAAGAAGAAGAGAAAAGAAAAGAAAAAGAGAGAAAGAAAGAAAGAGAGAACGAAAAAAGAAAGAAAGAAATACAGGAATCAGGGATGGTTCAAGGACATTTGGATTGAGCAACTGGGATGGAGTTACCATTAACTGAGATGGAAAAATCTGCAAATGCAGCAAATTTTAGGGGAGAGAGTAGGAGTTAAGTTTAGACACATCTACCATTGTGAGATGTAGAGTAGCCAAGTGCCTATATAAGTTATAAGAGATATAAATTATTATATAAATATTAGTTCAGTGTAAATATAAAAATTTTAGAGTCTTTGCCATATAGATGGTATTTAAAGCCAGTAGAGTGGATGATATCATAAATTGAATTTGTCAAAAGTGAAAAGGATCAGGGACTGAACCCATGTACTGGTGTGGGGGTGGGGCACGCACATGTGTGTATGTACTTAATATCAATTTATTCTTAGTTTGCTTCACATTACTTAGCATCCCTCCCTGGTAAAGACAGAACTTAGGTTATTTTTTTCAAATCATATGAAATCTAAGTTAATTTTCTTTCCAATTTGAGGAACTTTTCACTAAAATTTCTTTTTTTTTTTTCTTTTCTTTTTTCTTCTGAATAAGGATATAGGTAGCCAAGGGTCATTTATTTAATATTTTGACTCAAAGTATTATTTAGCTTACTATTAAATTAAGAAAATGTTATCTGATTTTTTCTTCTTTTTTTAGGGATGATTTGGTCCGACATTAAAAGACTTTGGTATGAAGGGTTGGAAGACTTTTTAGAAGAATCTCGTAATCAACTCAGTTTTGTCATGAATTCTCTTTATTTGGCAACCTTTGCTCTCAAAGTGGTTGCTCACAATAAGGTGACCATTTACTATTTCAATTGAAATTTAATTCAAAAACACCTAAGATATATAGCCATGTAACTCAGAGTTTCATAGGGCTATATCTTTAGTATGTTTTCATTTTAAAACTATTTATATATAATTCCCCCCTTTTTTTAGTAGTTTAAAGGATGTTACCTTCTATATGGTAGGTACCACAGTTTGATATACTGTGATATTTGGTATACTTTGTCTCATTTTATCCTCATAGGGATTCTATGAGACAGAAGTCCTTAGCCCCATTTTACAAATAAGAAAAATGAAGCTCAGAGATATTAAATAGCATATCTAAGTCCACACAAAAAGAAACCACGATTGGATTTAAATCCAGGTCCATATAGGGATTTTCTTTCTTACAAATGGCAGGATTTTTTTTTTCATATATATATGTTTGAGCTAGGTTCTTTTAGCTCATTAACATGTATATACTTAAAATGAGACCACAAAGTAACTTTAAATGACAGGTATTTTAAATCTTTATATCAATGTGAAAGTATCTTAGTGGAATTCATCATATAGTATTTTACACATTCCAAATCATGCCTGTCATCTTTTGCAGCTTAAAATGGTATAAATGTAATATTTTTTCTGATGACACTATATTTTCATTCAGAATTAGACAAAAATCTAAGTTTGTAGACATCTTAAAATTTTACTTTCCATCAAGATTTACACTCTCCCAAGGCCAGAAAAGGTAATAGATTATATGTTAACTATCTTTATTTAAACCCTGAGTTTAGAATTCTTTCTGGGATAGCATATTTAAGCAACTAAAATATAAAGTATTCTCTGCCTTTTGACCAATTTATTGATTATAGAAAAAGTAAAGTGACTTTCTTATATCAATTTACTTTATTAAAATATTCCATTCCTTTAAATGACCAACAGTGTGCAACACATTGATGAGGTATATTCAGTGACTGCAGTGTAAAGTTACTAAGAAAATAAAAATTGGTCTTACACAGATAAATGGTTTGATTTATCTGTGTAAGATAAGATAAAGAGATTGAATGGCATTACTTTTTCAGACTTATCTCTCTAGTCCTATAATTTATTGTTCAAAAAGAACATTTTGAAAATGATAAGATGCTCTATTAATAATTATGCCAGGAAGTCAGACATAAAATCTCAAGAGTGTTCCATGCAGCTGGGACATGTGGACATTATCAGGTATAGTAATGCACTTTCTTCTTTTTAAATTAAAAACAGCAGGGGACTTCTATGATTTATTCTAGAATCCTAAGTGAAAGGACAAGGTTAATTCAATATAACTAATTAATTGACAGCATTTATGCTTAAAACTTTATGTTGTAGACTTTAAGAAAACTAAATGTTTCATTGCATAAAAAAGTTTAATGACAAATTGTTTAATTTTTTAAAACCTAAAAATTTCTGGGAATAACTCTTTAAATGACATAACTGATATTGCCTTACATACATGGAAATCTTTTATTAAAACATTATTTCTATTAAAAAAGAAAAAGTATAAAGCATAAATGGAGATTCCCCACAAGGAGACATAATTTAAATAGTTTTCTTTCAGAAATTTCTGAATATTTGTTTTTACTTTCCTAAATTGAGAGTGCTATTCACCTTTGACTTTTTTCCCTAACTCTAGTTTCATGATTTTGCTGATCGGAAGGACTGGGATGCATTCCATCCTACGCTTGTGGCAGAAGGGCTTTTTGCATTTGCAAATGTTCTGAGTTATCTACGGCTCTTTTTTATGTATACAACCAGCTCTATCTTGGGTCCATTACAGGTAAATTAAATTTCTTGAAGAACACTTGTTAGATTTTATTATTACATCTTTCTATGTATCCACTGGAGCATTGTTGTCTCATAATGTTAAAACTAAACTTTGCTTTTGAAAATAATTAATAATTAGAAGAACACAGCATGTTTATCTACTTTGCTTCTGGCACAAAAATAATCCTTTGCTTTCAGGAATTCAGACCTTATTAAGCTATGATTCATCAGCATCCACCCTTCACTCCATAGACACAGATGTGTTTAAAATATAGTTCTATTTCAGACAACAGTAGAGTAACATAAAAACTGCTTTTTATCAAAATGAATCTCACATTTAAAGTAGAAAGTGTTTTAGTTTATTAAGAGAGGTGCAGTGAAAACAAATAACCATAATAATGATTTTGAAAATATGTCAGCTCTACTTTAAAATATTTTTAAACTTTTGTTTCATAAATAGTAAATGTAATAAGCTAAAAAGTATTATATTTAGAGCTTAAAAATTCATTGATTATATAGTCCAGCTTTGCACTTGATAGTATTGGATTGTTGAAGAAATTGAGGTTTTGATATGGTATGTGATTTGTCTAACCAAATGATTGTTATGTGTGAGAATCCAAGACTAAATTCTGTCTCTTTACATCAAAGAAAGGACTCACAATTGGTTTAATTTACCCCACAGAGTGTAGTAATTGACTATTGTAGGTCCAAATCTGCTAACTTATAATTCTGAAAATCTGAATGATGTTCATTTTCCATAGTTAAAATTTGCTAATAGTGGGCTAAGGATACAGCATAGTTGGTAGAATGCTTTCCTCACATGCACAAGGTCCTGGGTTCAATCTCCAGCACTGAAAAAAAAAAAAAAAGCTAATAATTTAGATTGCTTTTTATATTTTTAGAGAAGGTATAACAAGGCATAATTACTTTCTCTAAACAGGCATGTGAAAAAGAAAATATGTAGGAAACCCTGATTTGATTAGACCTGTGCAGTAAAACAGAGTTATAGTTAATAAACCAACAAAGGACATAAAATGAATCATTAAAACCAAAAAAAGAGGGGCTAGGGCTGGGGCTCAGTGGTAGAGCGCCCGCTTCACATGCATGAGGCACTGGGTTTGATCCTCAGTACCACATAAAAATAAATAAAGATTTTTTAAAAAAAGATAGAAAAACAGGAAAAAGAGACAAAGAATAGATGGGATAAAGAGGATAAAACATGACATCATGAACTTGAATCAGTTTATCACATTAAGTATACATGGTCTAGCTACCCAATCAAAAGGCAGAGATTGATAAATTGGATAAACAAAAGCAGACCCAATAATATACTGCTTACAAGAGAAACACAAAGGCATTAAAAAGAAAAGGACAAGAAATGTACTGTGATGATACTAATCAAGAGAAAAATTAGGCTAATCTTTTAATAGTAGACCCAGTAGATATCAGAGCAAAAGCCAGAAAACAGGTCATTTCATGATAAAATTTCAATTAATTAAGAGAACATAATTCTAAGTACTTATATACCCAATAACAATTTCAAAATACACAAAGTAAAAGCTGGTAGACCTGTAAGGAGAAATATATAAATCCACAATTATTGTCAGAAATTTAATACTCCTCTAATAAAAGCAATCAATAGCAAAACAATACTACACAGAATACCTGAATAACACTCTCCCAATCTAGCCCAATTGATAGATCATTTCATTCAACAACAATAGAAACACATTTTTTTAAAGCACAAACGAATGCAATGTATATCATAAAATTAAGCCAGTCAGCAGTGTTTATAAAGCAAATGACCAATTCAAAGCATCTAGCACGAAGAAGGAAAAACTGCAAAGTCAAAGGCAGTGTTACGGTTTAGATAAAAAATGTCCCAGTGCTGGGGTTGTGGCTCAGTAGTAGTTCACTCGCCTAGCATGTGTAAGGCACTGAGTTCGATCCTCAGCACCACAAAAAGATAAATAAATAAAGGTATTGTGTCCATCTACAACTAAAAAATATGTTTAAAAAAAGAAAGAAATGTCCCTCAAAAGCTCATATATGAAACAATGCTAGAAAGTTTAGAGGTAAAATGATGGGGTTATGAGAGTTTTAACTTAATCAGTGCATTAATCCCCTGATAGGGATTAACTGAGTGGCAGCTGTAGGCTGGTAGGGTATGGCTGGAGGAAATGGTTTGCTGCAGGCATGCCTTTGGGGTCTATGTTTTGTCTGTGGTAAGGTAAGCTGTCTCTGCGTCCTGGTTCCATGTCCTGAACCACTTTCACCACATTCTTTAGCTGTGATGTTCTGCCTCCCCTAATGGTCAGAGCAGTGGAATTGGCCATGAATGAACAGAGAACTCTGAAACCGTGACCCTCAAAATAATTTCTTCCACAAATTGTCATGTTAGGACTTTTGGTCACAGCAGTGGAAAAGCTACTTAAAACAGGCAGAGAACCAAAAGCGCTATACAGATTTAATGGATTTCCTATTCAACTTCCAATGATGTTCTTCATAAAAATAGAAAAGGCAATCATGCAATTTATTTGGAAAAATAAGAGACCCAGAATAATCAAAGCAATCCTTAGCAGGAAGCATCACAATACCAGATCTTAAAAGATACTACAGAGCTATAGTAACAAAAACAGCATGGTATTGGTAACAACATGAAAACCAATGTAACAGAACAGAAGACAGAGACAAACCCACATAAATACAGTTAACTCATACTAAATAAAGGCTCCATAAACATACACTGGAGAAAAGGTATCCTCTTCAACAAATGGTGCTGGAAAAACTGGAAATCCATGTATAGCAGAATGAAATTTAACCCCTGTCTCTCACCCTGCACAAAACTCAACTCAAAGTCAATAGGCATTGGAGCAGAGACCCTGTGCTTACTAGAAGAAAATAAGGCCCAACTTACATCATGTTGCCTTAGGTACTAACTTCCTCAACAAGACTCCTAAAGTGCAAGAAGTAAAATCAAGCATCAATAAATGGGATGGTATCAAAGTAAAAAGCTTCTTTATAGCAAAGGAAACAATCAAGAGCATGAAGAGAGAGCCTATAGAATCGGAGAAAACCTTTGCCACCTGCACCTCAGATAGAGCATTAATCTCCAGGATATATAAAGAAATTCAAAAAACCTAATGCCAAAAGACCAGATAATCCAATCAGTAAATGGGCAAAAGAACTGAATAGGCACTTCACAGAGAAAGAAATAACAAATGATCAACAGATATATGAAAAAATGTTCAGCATCTCCAGCAATTAGAGAAATGAAAATTAAAACTACAATGAGATTCCATCTCACTCCAGTCAGAATGGCAATTATCAAGAATACCAGTAACAATAAATGTTGGCAAGGATGTAGGGGGGAAATGTATACTCATATATCACTGGTGGGACTGCAAATTGTTGCAACCCCTCTGGAGAGCAGTAAGGAAATTCCTCAGAAAACTTGCAGTGGAATCACCATGACCCATTATCCCATTCCATGGTATATACCCAAAGGACTTAAAATCAGCATACTACTGTGACATAGCCACATGAATGTTTTATAGCAGCTCAATTCACAATAGTTGAGCTATGGAACCAACCTCGGTGCCCTTCAACAGATGAATGGATAAAGAAACTAGTATATATACACAATGGAATATTACTCAGCCATAAAGAAGAATAAAATTATGGCATCTGTTGGTAAATGGATGGATCTGGAGACTGTCATACTAAATGAAATGTTAATCCCCCAAAACCAAAGGTTGAATGTTCTATTTGATATGCAGATACTAACATATGACAAGGAGGGAGGGAAAGAATAGAAGTTCAGTGTATTAGAAAAGGAGAATGAAGGGAAGGGAAAGGGGATAGGAATAGGAAAGACAGTGGAAATAATCTGACATAACTTTCCTATCTTTATATATGAATGCACCACCAGAGAAACTCCACATTCTGTACAACCACAAGAATGGGATCCTAATTAGTATAAGCTATACTCCATGTGGGTACAATATGTGAAAATATACCCTACTGTCACATGTATCTAAAAAGAACAACAACAAAAAAAAAAAAAAAAAAAAAAAAAAAAAAGGCAGAGAACTTGGAGCCATCTCTCTTTCCCTTCTTATCAGGAATCAGTTGCTTTCCCTGGAGCTATGTTAAATACTTCTACTTATATTGCATTAACCAGAATTGGGGAACATGGCTATTTGAAGCTAGAAGAAAGTCTAAGAATGTTGAGTACTTTTAGTTGAGCTTATTGCCTTCAAAAATTCAAGATTTGGATTAGTCAGAAAAAAGGAAAAATAGATATTGAGTAAGAGTCATATGTTTTAACCTTTTACTAAAGAACAATTCTTTTTTTAATGTTTATTTTTTAGTTTTCGGTGGACACAACATCTTTTATTTTTATGTAGTGCTGAGGATCGAAACCAGCACCCCGCGCATGCCAGGCGAGCGCGCTACCACTTGAGTCACATCCCCGGCCCAAGAACTATTCTTTTTTTAAAAGAAGGTTTATTGCGGTAAGACACTCTAGTGTTTACCCACTTAAGACTTTTAAGTTAGGACAACATTAAACATCACTTTTTCCTCCTAAATATAAAAAAAATATTTTTTAATATAAAATTTTCCAAAATTTGTTAAAGCTCTTTTACAAACACTAATAAAAAGAATATTAAATTTTTATACCCTTATACCCCACAAAGTTGGTGATACAGCATTATTTACTGACATTTCTTTAAAAATGTACTGGAAGTTAAAATCAGTACATCATTAAACTTGTTATTCTACTCGTAGCACATAATCTATAATAATGTAAATTGAATTTTCTTTATATGAAAGAAATATTAACCCTACGAAAATAAAAATGAATGGGAATCTTACCTTCGCTCTTTACCAGCTGTGTAATAATAATAAAAAAAAATATTTAACTTCTCTGAGCCTCTCTCCATTCATTTGTAATATAGGCATGAAGTATCTTAATATTAAGCTTCTTATAGCATTATTGTTTACAATAAC